AGATGCCTATCCAAAAACATCACATTTCACCTAAGTTATCTTCTTTGAACCTTCAAAAATTCCTGAATAAATGGGATTTTTAATCCTATTTTATAGATGAAAAAACTGGAGTAACATTCTGAAAATAAATGTTCAGAAGTTCTGGCATTCACATTATAGAATCACATTTTCTTTACCCCAGTTTTAGTATAATTCAGAGCACTTTCTTCACACCACTGAAGTTTATTAGTGGTAGTGGTTGGCTTTGGGGGCAGGTTGGGTTTGGGGGGTTTGGTTGATTTTTTTGTGCGTGGTGCTGGGGATGGAACTCAGGGCTTTACACATGCTAGGCAGGCACTCTGCCACTGAGCTATACCCCCAAACTAGAGCAGATTCTCATATAACCCAGACTGGTCTTGAACTCACTGTGCAGCAGAGTATGACCTTGAACTCCTGGTCCTCTACCTCCTGAGTGTGGAGATTACAGGCATACACCACCACACCTAGTTTATATGGTGCTGGCAGTTGAACCCAAGGCTAGTCACTCTACCAAGCAAGCTACATCATCAGCCCCTCGAGCATTTTCTCCCTAGAAGAGAGAGAAGCTATTCAAAGCTGACTTCTGAACTGTAGACAAGTAATCCCTATCCTAAATCGTCATAGTTAGCTTTTACATACATATGTCCATAAAAACTAGTGCAATATAATATTTTCATTTCCATAGTAATAGAAAACAGAAAATCTTACAGATCATCTCTTCCCATCTCTCAAATGGTGCAAGAAGCTTCCCTAAAATGCCTCTTCTCTAAATGCTTCCATAGATCAAACTAGCTATTTCCTAGGTTTTCTATTATTTGCCTTTCTCTTCTAGGAGTGTAGTTTGATCTTCACATGCCTATTCAGTCCCTACCCCCAGGTTCTGGGCCTCAGCCTATTCTAAGAATATTTAAGTAACTCAAGCCCTGACATCTGTATCAACTCCTATCCAGTCTGCTTATCCAGAATGACACAGAGATGGGACCACTAACCTCAGACCCAAGAGCATTTTCTTCTCTCAGGTTTGAGAAAAATAGGGACCTTCACATTGTCAACCAGACTCTGCGGTTCAGCACTTGGCAGCCATGTGGCCCTAGACAAGATGCTTTGATAATCCTGTGCTTCAGAGGCTACTATGAAGATTAAACATGACAGCCCATGATAAGAAAATCGTGTAGTAATTAGTAGTATGTAGTAAGGAATAAATGTTACCTGCCATTAATCAGGCCTGAGTATGGTGGCACATGCCTATAATGCCAGTGCTCAAAGCCTGGGCTGTTAGCATACTGAGTTCCTGGTCATCCTGAGCTACAGAGTAGATACTGATCCAAAAATCCAAAAATAAGCCAGGCGTGGTGGTGCAAGCCTTTAATCCCAGCATTTCAGAGGCAGAGGCAGAGGGATAGATCTCTGAGTTTGAAGCCAGCCTGGTCTACATAGCAAGTTCCAGGCCAGGCAGGGCTACATAGTGAAACCTTGTCTCAACAAAAAAATAAATAAATAATAAAAACAAGGTGTTGGATTTGGCTCAGCAGTTAAGAGCACTAACTGTTCTTGCAGAGGTCCCAGGTTCAGTTCCCAGCACCCACGTGGCAGCTAACAATCATTTTCTATAACTCCAGTTCCAAGAGAATCTGATGCCCTCTTCTGGCCTCTGCAGGCATTGTACACAGGGATGCACCCACATACATGCAGGCAAAACACTCATAAGCATAAAATATAAATAAAATAGGTCCTGGTGTGGTGGCACACGCCTTTAATCCCAGCACTTGGGAGGCAGAGGCAGGCGGATCTTTGTGAGTGCAAGGCCAGCCTGGTCTACATAGTGAGTTCCAGGAATGCTGGGGCTACAGGGAGACCCTGTCTCAAAAAAGACAAAAATAATAAATAAATAGCCAAAAATAATAGCCTAATAGCTGTCAGCACTTCGGCGGGAGACACAAAGGCTGAAAATTAGGCTTAGTTCTAAAGAAGGGTCATTTCCAAATAAGCCAAACTGGTCTATTGATTATTTCAAACCAAAATTATTTGAAGACATGTAACTTCAGAAAGGGCCATTTGACCTGTGTTTTCCTACATGCAGCAAGTCAAAGATGCTTTGGGGAGGTATGCCCTTCCCATACCAAAGCTGAGAAGTGCCTTGATTGTGAGAGACTGATCATTAAGGCTGCAGCAACCTTGAGTAAAACTCTGACCTAACTCTTATCTTCCAATAGTATCTACATCCCCTACTCTATATCTCTGTAAGAATCCCTAGATTCTATTACCCTAGTCCAGATACCAAACTCATGTTATTACTTTACAGATTTATTGTTCTTTGTTCAAAGAGTATGAACGCATCATGCTTTGATCATTTCTTCAGAATTCAGTGTTGTAAGGATCTCCATGTACATGTAAAATTAATTTTTTTTAAATATGCTTTTCTCTTGTTAACTAGTTCTTGTATTTACTAGGTTCCTGGATTCAGCCAAAAAAGCCCCCACCAAAAAATAAAGAGAATAAAGATGATCTCTTTGTCCCCTAGTCTGATTAGTCTGATATCCTTCCAATTCAATAAGATCCCTGGAAGGATAGGCAGGACAGTATCTTGGTAGCTCCCCTTTACTTGAAGCATCTTGGTTTCCATATGGAGTTAGTGGGTAAACCCAAGTCAGGTTTCTTATCCATGATTCTGACAGAAGCTTCCTCCTGTAGTTTAAGATTAAATTCAGAATCACAATACTTTATTATTGGAGAAGAAATTGAGTACCAATTACAGAATTAGATCTGGTCATGAAGTTTATTTCTCCTTCTAGTTCATTTGCATCGTGGCTTAAGGAAACGTATGTGCCCCCAAATCAACAGAATAAGTTGCTTTACCTGGCTTCAGACTGCCTCCCTAGGCAGGTGAAATACTTTTCAGTGTCTGCTTTCTCGCCCACCCTGCTGCTATGTTACGGTTCTTAACAGCAGATTCACAGGATTCTCTGGGGAGGGTGAAGCCCTAGTAATTTGGCAGGGTAATTCCAGGGTACGTTCAGCCATTTCCTTTTGTAAGGATATACTTTCAATTCCAGATGTCTAAGTGTCCAGATTGGGCACAAGATTTGTCCTTCTGTTTTGGCAAACATCCCAGAAAATACTAAAAAACAAAACAAAACAAATTTGTGCAAACATGTTACTGACTTCACCAGCAGGAGGCGCATGGTAGGCATGCAATCTTCCTTGTAGTGACAAGTTTGTCCCTTCTTGCGTGAGAGTGGTACTCAGTGTGGAAGTGTTTTTTAACTCAGGATTAATCTTCCTATGTCTCTTGAAGTTAAGAGGCACTTACCTACTAGTTTCAAGAAACAGCCCAAAGACAATGGGTATGACAAGAATAGTTTCATTTATCTTGCTTAGGGCCTGAAAGGATCCACTTTATCTGGTTCAGTTCCCTAGAAACCCAGATTGCCCTGCAGTTCACACTGCTGGTTTTAAAGCTGTGGCTCAAGAAAGATAGTTTCTGAGGCTGGTGAGATGGCCCTGTGGCGAAGAGCCCATACTGGTCTTGCAGAGGACCTGAGTTCCGTTTCCAGCACCCACGATGTCAGACAGCTCACAACTGCCTGTAACTCCAGCTCCAGGGGGAATCTGGCTCACAGGCACTGCACTCATACACACACACACACAATTAAAATAATAAGAATAAATCTTAAAAAGATAACTTCTGATTTTAGAGCTTGTCAGGAGGAAGCTATAAACATACAGACCTGGAGGAACAATAGAACCATCTGTGGATACTTCAAAAATTCAAATTCCTGGGGCTGGAGAGAGCTCAATAGTTAACAGCACTGATAGCTAATGCATAGGACCCTGGTTCAGTTCCCAGCACACACATGGCAGCTAACAACCGTTCTTAACTCCAGTTTCAGGGAATCTGAAACCCTCTTCTGGCCTCCATAAGCATTGTGTGGTGTGAATGTTCTTACATACATGCAGGCAAAACACACATACACATAAAATAAAAATAAGTAATTCACAAAAATATAAATAAAATTCCTGGACCCACCTTAGAGCCTGTATAGACAGAGTGGTTCGGGCTGATGCCCCAGGAATCTGTACTATAACAAGCCCCATTGAGATCCCACAGTTGGCTTGAACCAGCATTTAGGAACTACTAATCCAAGAGACTCTCAGATGAGATTGCTTATCACTCCCGCTGCCCCCACACCAGTCCTTAGGGCATGAATGGCCAAGGGACTTGGAGTCAAAGTTTCAACCCAGGTTGTTGCACCATATAAATCATGCCTACAAAGCGCTTATACACATAAAATAAAAAAAAAAAATATTTAAAAAACGTATCTGACTTGTGTACCATCCCCATTGGGTATTTCTCCCTGCTATAGCCCTGTGTGAAAGAGTGAGTTAGTCCTGAGAGACTCTCTGGTAGTGTAGATGCTGGTAGGAATGTGCATTGGCTTGAGTGTATTGTTCCAGTAGGCCAAGCTGCTCTTCCACTCACGACTGTCAAAAATGTCTTCTTGGGCCTGGAGAGATGACACAGCAGTTAAGAGCACTTGTTGATCTTCCAAAGGACCTGAGTTCAGTTGCCAGCACCCACATTAGGCAGCTCACAACTACCTGTAACCCCAATTCTAAGGGATTTGACACCCTCCTCTGGCATCCGTGAGCACTTGCACACATGCAGAACATACAGAAGGGGGGGATGATAAAACTAAATCTTTTTGAAAACGTTTTCTTGGGACTGAGGGTGTAGGTTAATGATATAGCTCTTGATTATCATGTGAAAGACCCTGGATTCAAATTTTTAGAAGTCCTCCTGGCTGGGTATGGTGGTGGACACCTTTGATCGCAGTACTTGGGAGGCAGAAGCAGGGGATATTTGTGAGATCAAGGCCACTCTGGTCTACACAGAGAATTCCAGGCTGGCCAGGGCTACATAGTGAGGCCCTGTCTCAAAAAGAAAGTCTTCCTGGAAGAAAGCAAGACATAAAGCCATGTGATAATCTATACAAATTTTATTTTGATATCAATTTGTATGGAAACAAGCAGGTGTCAGCATTATATAGGCCGGAAAAAAAGGGGAAAGAAAAATCTCCAGTGATAATTCATCTTGTATTTACACCATTTGGTTCAACAAGGACAGTTAGTTTTACTGTTAGCTTCCTGTGGGAACTCCAGTTTCTGTACCTTGCCTTGCTGCCTCTCGGCATCACGATATAACAGGGATTTTTGGGCCTTGAGTCGACAAGCCAGACACATGAAAATTGACTCCACATTCTGGCTTTCTTTGGGGTCCTTGGCTGATGTCTCAAACAACAGCATGTTGTGGGCATCGGCAAATTTCAGGGCTAAGTTGGAGGGTACCTGGATCTGTTCCCTCAAGTCACACTTGTTACCAACAAGCACCTTTGGGACTAGTGGGGGCACAGCATGCCCGTTGCATTCTTGGATCCACATTTTTAGGTTGGTGAAGGATGTCATCTTGGTGACATCATAGACAAAGACCACTGCATGCACATTGCGGTAGTAATGTTCGACCATGCTTTTACGGAAGCGTTCTTGGCCTGCTGTGTCCCACACCTGAACCTGTAACAAAAAGCCATATGTGAAGTCAGAAAAGGAAACATGGACAGATGAGGGAAAACATGGTTTTGTAGCATTATATAATGAGGTTACAAGTCCTGAAATAGAAAGTTGTTCTTGACAGATTAGCAGAATGGACCTATCAAAGAGTAGAGAGAAATTGTAGAGTTTGTTAAGCTTTTTCTCAAAAGGTTGAAGATACTGAGTTGAAAATCTGAAGGATTGTTGTTTTTAAAGTACATAAATTGGGCTGGAGAGATGGCTCAGCAGTTAAAAATACTGGTTGCACTTGCAGAGGACCCAGGTTCAATTCCTAGCACCCACATGTCAGCTAACAGCTGTCTACAACTCCAGTTCCAGGGGATCTGATGCCCTCTTCTGACCTCTGCAGGCATTGTACAACATGGATGCACCTACCCACATGCAGGCAATACACTTATACACATAAAATTTTTTAAAATATTTTTAAGGGGCTAGAGAGATGGCTCAGCAGGTAAGAACACTGGTTGTTCTTGCAGAAGACCCAGATTCGAATCCCAGCACCCACATGGCAGCTAACAACTGTCCATAACTCCAGTCCCAGAAGATCCGACAGCCTCTCTGACCTCTGCCAGCATTGCATGACATAGGTGCACTTCCCTACATGCAGGCAATACACACATACACATAAAATTTTTTTAAATTTTTTAAGTTTAAAAAAATATATTTTTAAAAGTATTTAAGCCAGGCCAGACATGGGTGGTGCATGCCTTTAATCCCAGCACTTTGGAGGCAGAGGCAGGAAGATCTCTGTGAGTTTGAGGCCAGCCTGGTCTACATAGTGAGTTCCAGGCCAGCTGGGGCTACAGGGAGACCCTGTCTCAAAAAAGACAGGAAAAAAAAGTACTTAAATTGGTTGATTTTTCTGGAGGGCAATTTGGCAACGTTATCAATAATCTTAAATTTTTTCATAACTGAGGACCTGTAATCCTTCTTCCAGGAATCTGTACAAAAGACAAAGCAAAATGTTCTGAATTCTGTAAAAATACCTTGACCGCAGTGTTATTTATACTAAGGAAATAATAGGAAACAACTGAAATGCTCACTACCAGAGGAATAGCAAAAGTATATATCTACATATTTAATGGGCTAATATTCAGCCATTAAAAGTAATATTTGCACCAACCAGTTCACACCTACAATCTCAGCACTAAGGAGGCTACGAAGGATTGCTGTGAGTTCAAGACCAGCCTGGGCTACATGACAAAACTGAAAGAGAGAGAGAGAGAGAGAGAGAGAGAGAGAGAGAGAGAGAGAGGTGTTTTCATAGACTAAGTCATACAAATTTAAAACAAAGGATACAAAATTTGTCAGGGCTGATGTTTTCAATCCTTAACACCTCCCAATATTGTTTCATATGACATAATCTCAATTTTCAAAAGCATTAAGCATAAACATACTTATTCATAAGAAAAGCCTAGAATTGTATATATCAGAATATTAATGGATAGTCGAGTAAAAGTAATATTTATTCTCTTTTATTACTCCAAAGTTTATGCTTTAAGGTTTGTGTTATTTCAAGTGGTTTTTGTTGTTGAGACAGGGTCTCAATGTGTAGTTCAAGCTGGCATCCAACTTGCCTCAAACTAGTGATCCTCCGGCCTCACCTTCCTGAGCTCTGGAATTACAGGCATGTATCTTCACACCTGACTTTGTATTAAAAGATTTGAAAAATTAATGTGGAGGCAGGAGGATCAGTTTAAGACCAGCCCAAGCTACATAGCAAGTTTGAGGTCCGCCTGAGCTATATGAGATCCTTATTTCACTCCCCTTCCCAAAGCAAGGTTAATGTTGAGAATCTCATCCTTGAGCTTCATTTATTCATTTAAATGAGATCTCATTTTGTAGCCCAGGCTGACCTCAAATTCATGATCCTCCTTGTTCTGGAATTACATGCTTGAGCCGCCATGCCTGTTTTTCAATTTATTTTTAAATTCACTTCTTTGTTATGTAAAAGATAATTTAATTCACTCGATTTTTCTCCAGCATCTTGGTTTTTGGGATAAAGGCCAATTTATGAAGAGAAAAGCTGGTATCAGTAACATATGCAAAGACATAATTCCCAGGGAGATACTCCGGTGTCAACATATATTCAAGCCCAATTTCATTTTCCTTTATATATTAAAGGTCTGGGATAACAGACATTCATGTTCAGAATGATAGTCCCAAGGCCTTATACAATTCTCAGTTATCAAACAAAATTTCATTATGATCGTCCCAAGGCCTTATACAATTCTCAGTTATCAAACAAAATTTCATTATGATCATCAATTCACTGCTGTGGTTCTTTAAATGTAATATAGTCTTTATTTGGAATTAGTAGTCAGTAAGCATAATATATAAAATATAATTGAATCTTTCTGCAGAGTGAAGATCTTACAGGTTCATCATCCTGAACATCAGTTTTCATTGTTCTGGCTGTCTCTTACCATCCTCCAAGATCTTTTAGAATTACATCTTCTATTTGAATTTATGTTTTGAGACAGTCATTCACTATATAGCTCAGGCTGGCCTCAGACTCTCAATCCTCCTGTCTCAGCTTCCTGAGTGCTGGAATTACTGATATTTGCCACCACCCTCAGCTTCTATTTGGATTTTCATGTTCTCTGGTCAGTCCCTCTTCTCCTTATTCCTGGACTATAGCATTCATTTGGTTCCTAGATGTCTCCACTCTGACGCCTTCTGAATGCTGCTATCACACTGGCCTCCTAAATACCCGCTTATATCTGCATGTCATCTTCCTCTTCAGAAAATGATGGTAGCCCTCTACCGAACATGGTATCAAATGGAAATTTTTCAGTCTGTCTTAATTTGACCCATCCCAACCTAGGTTCAAACTCCTCAGCCACATTTGCCTCATTATCTCTTCTGTGACTTTGGTTGGCTAGTCTACCCTTCCACTGTAGATCTGGTTTAATTCTCTTTGCCCTATTCCAGTCTCTCACATTCTTGAAGGCTCATTTTGTGTCTCCCCCTTCACCTACAAATCTTGTCTAACTTCTCTACAATTCTCTTTTCTTAGGAATTTCTATTGCATTTTGTGTCTGCATCATACTGTTTAGAACATATTTGTGTGTCCTCTGTTTCACGAGTGCTGCTGGTCCCTTGCCAGCTAAACCATAAGTATCTTTTTCAGCACTGGATTGTACATCCTTGAGGTGCTGGTGGTGGTGGTCGTCGTCATTGTCATCATCGTGATCATCATCATCATCATCATCATCATCATTATCATCATCATCATCAAAAACAGTATTTGCCTGAGCCACTAAAACTACCACCAAGCTGGCAGCCTTAGGTATCTGCCAAAGCGAGTTCAGAGAAAGCATCTGACTTTGGTTACACACAAAGACAAAAATCTTCAAAGATGTATTTGTTTCCGCAAGCAGAGACAAAAAAAGATTTTCCTTCTTTCTACCTCTCTGGTGCTCTGAACAAGAAGAAAGGGCAGGCGGGAGAAGAATGGAGGTCAGTGGGAAGAAAACAGATCTAGTCCGGGAATATCATCACCACTTGGCTCCTGATCCCCACTTCCCACCCCCACTCCCCAGTAGTCTTAACTCTTGCCTCTGAGTGAGGCTGAATCCCTATCGGTCCTCAGGCATGTGGCAGATGCTTTAACACCATGAGCTCAGGACTCTAAAAATACCTGCCACTCGCAGGAATGTGGGTGGGAGTGTGTGAGGTGTTTGAGGCTGAGTAAGGTTGACTGTTTGGCTTTTCTTTGGCTTCCTAATTGTATGCACCACCCAAGCTGCCAGAATGGAACTGTGGGGAGGGCCCCTCTGCCTAGAAGCTTTGCTTTAGAGGCTTAGGATTTCAGCGGTAGGTACTCCTCCCATTGCAGCTCTATATAAACCCTATCTGAGGTATTTGTATTCTTCTCTGTGGTGAGAGATGAACCTGGAAGCAGGCGGTTTCCAGCAGAAAACAGAACCAGCGGGTATGGACTCAAAGCCCTCCAAAAAGGAGACACCTCTGTCAGGCTCACTGGACACATGGAATGATCTTTTTGTGTTTGAGGGTTCAGTATTTTCTGTCCTCAACATCATAATCCTCTAGCCCTTGCCAGGGATTGAAAGCACCTGCTTCCTCTCCCCTTTTCTTCTTTCACAGTGGACATGACAGATGCCTGTCCCTTAGCCATATGTGCCCCAGATCCTCAGCACTGTGAGAGGGCCATAGGGGTATCATGGAGTTGAATCAACTGGGCTGCAAATCCCTGTCCAAATCTGGTCCTAAGCTGGGCGTGGTGGCACACGCCTTTAGTCCCAGCACTCTGGAGGCAGAGGCAGGTGGATCTCTGTGAGTTCAAGGCCAGCCTGGTCTTTCTAGCGAGTTCCAGGCCAGCTGGGGCTACAGGGAGAAAAAATCAAAAAGACCAAAAAACAAAACAAAAACAGAAAAACCAAAAAAAAAAAAGCCCAAAAAACAAAAAAACAAATCTGGTCCTTTCTCTAACTCAATGTCTTCATATGGAAAATGAAGAGCCAGAGCAACTATGTACATATGCTGAGCTAGCATGCCTTGTATGTGCATGACACTGCTTAATGCAGTCATCCCTCAGTATATATGCAGAACTGGATCCAGAACTCCGTCAGATTCCCAAATCACTAGAGCTCCAGGGCCCTGTATAAAATGGTGTACTGTTTGTATATAATACTGCGCACATCCTCCTGTATGCTTTAAATAATCTCTATCATATTTGATACAATGAAATGCAGTAAAAATGCTTGTTTAGGGAATAAGAAAAGTCTGTACATGTTTAGGGTAGATGCATTTTTAAAACATAACGTGTGTGTGCTATCCTATTGAGACAGAATCTTATAAGCTAAGCTGGCTTCAAATTTACTATGAAGCCAATGATGATCTTGAATTTGTAATCTTCCTGCCTCTACCTCCCAAGTGCTGAGATTATAAACATGACCCACCAGGTCAGGATTATGTGGCACTGGGACTGAACCCAG